TTCCCCCGGCATTTACTTAAGAGAGGAGTTTATTCCAAATTAGCCTCTGGAGGGGCATTTCTTTGAGGAAGCATTTATTCAAATAAATACGGTGATAATTATGTGCTTTCAAAACAGTTGTAAATCTACAGATTTGTCACTGATTGAATGGCATACATATATCCATTTTCAATTTTTTAAGTCTGGATTTAAGACCTAAATATTGAATCACTGCTTCGTATTAGCCTGGCGTACAGCAATTGTTAAACATTGTACCCATTGCTCTGCCTTTGTACTGTCTTTTGCTTTGAATACATACGACTTGTTGTCTTCTGTAAATATCTCGAAAGCTCTTGGTATACTACGATCACGCCTCCTGACTGCTTTTACACTTTGAACTTTCCCCAGTTCAATCGGTAGTGTGCCCTTTGACTGTGTCTACAAAAGCATAAAAAAGTTTAGAACTTATAATAAACTTCAAAACATAACAGAAGAGAAACCTGACATTACCATAGAAAAAAACAAACTTGGCCTCCACCGGGACTTGAACCCTGGACCTTTTGCATGCATGGTGAATGTCCAACCACTTGACCATGAAGGCATTGTGGTGATGAAAGCACCAGTAGAATTTAAGATCCTTAAATTCTTTCAACGTGTTTGACATCACAATTTTGAAATAGTACTAATATTGCATGAGACTAGACTGCCAGAGATCTAAGATATGCCATTTTCTGTACATTATTTACAGTTTTCTGGATCTTGAATGAGATATTTGTTTACAGTATATAACATACATATATTATCGTAAACACACAGTAACATAAAAAATGTTTGACATCACAATTTTGAAATAGTACTAATATTGCATGAGACTAGACTGCCAGAGATCTAAGATATGCCATTTTCTGTACATTATTTACAGTTTTCTGGATCTTGAATGAGATATTTGTTTACAGTATATAACATACATATATTATCGTAAACACACAGTAACATAAAAAATAGCCCATACCGATTTGTTCTTTTTGTAAACAAGGTTTTCTCCTGCAAGTGTGAAATAACGGGTTCTCCAAGTACGAAATAATTTCCATCGCACCTTCTTCTCCTTTAGCTGGCCTTCGATGTGAGGTTGTCCATCAGAAAAATAATCGGCTGGAGGAGGAAATACAAATAATAGAATATCTTCAATATATATGCCATGTTCTTTGCAGGTAAGATTTTGATTTACACAATGAATAGGAAGAGAGTATAGAAAATAACAGGAATTGAAATATTGAAATAAAAATAATCAGCTTGGAAGGGAAATAGTGGAGAGAGTAGCTTATTGTAGTTGGATGGAATACAGATAAATATGATCCAATGTATTATAAACAAGTCAAATTG